GCTGTTATACACGTCGATCCATAGCATCCCAAACATGCTCAATGGGTGACATGTCTGGTGAGCATGCAGTCCATGGAAGAACTGGACATTTTCAGCTTTCAGGAATTGTGTACAGATCCTTGTGACATAGGGCCGTGCATTATCATGCTGAAACATGAGGTGATGGCGGCGTATGAATGGCACAAGAATGGGCCTCAGGATCTCGTCACGGTATCTCTGTGCATTCAAATTGCCATCGATAAAATGCAATTGTGGTCGTTGTCCATAGCTTATGGCTGCCCATACCATAACCCCACCGCCACCATGGGGCACTCTGTTGACAATGTTGACATCAGCAAACTGCTCACCCACACGACGCCATACACAGTTGAAACCAGGATCCATCCGTGAAGGGCACACTGCTCCAGCATGCCAGTGGCAATCGAAGGTGAGCATTTGCCCACTGAAGTCGGTTACAACGCCAAACTGCAGTACAGGTAAAGACCCTAGTGAGGATGACGAGCACGCAGATTAGCTTCCCTGAGACGGTTTTGACGGTTTGTACAGAAATTCTTTGGTTGTGCAAACCCACAGTTTTATCAGCTGTCCGGGTAGCTGGTCTCAGACGATCCAGCAGGTGAAGAAGCCGTGTCACGATCGTCGAACACAGAGGACCAAGGCGCAGCGTGGAATGCGAACATACTTTTATTTTTAATGATCACACGAACAAAACAACAAAACGATACGTGACGTCCTTGGCAATAGACACTAACCAAACACGGAACAAGATCCCACAACACACTGTGGAAAACAGGCTGCCTAAGTATGGTTCCCAATCAGAGACAACAAGCAACAGCTGATACACGTTGCCTCTGATTGAGAACCACACCGGCCAACATAGAAACAAATGAACTAGATAATCACCCTAGCACACAAAACACATAGAAACCACACACCCTGGATCAACATAACAGAGTCCCAGAGCCAGGGCGTGACAGTACCCCCCCCCCCAAAGGCTCGGACTGCGACCGCGCCATACATAAACCGAACAGGGGAGGGCCGGGTGGGCATTCCTCCTCGGAGTCGGTTCCGGCTCCGGGCTTGACCCCCACCCTCCAACAAACCCCCCAAAGCGCCCCTGGTCCGGTCTGGCCCTGCTGGCCGGAGCTAGACTGAACACTGGTGGAGCGGATTGCTCTAGCTCCGGAGTGGAGCAGCTGACCGGTGCCGGACCAGGCACCGGTGGAACAGGCACGGGCTGTGCCGGACTGACGACGCGCACCACAGGCTTGGTGCGGGGAGCAGGGACGGGCCGGACCGGGCTGACGACGCGCACCATTGGCTTGGTGCGGGGAGCAGGGATGGGCCGAACCGGGCTGACGAGGCGCACCACTGGCTTGGTGCGGGGAGCAGGAACAGGCCGGACCGGGCTGACGACGCGCACCATTGGCTTGGTGCGGGGAGCAGGGACGGGCCGAACCGGGCTGACGAAGCGCACCACTGGCTTGGTGCGGGGAGCAGGAACAGGCCGGACCGGGCTGACGACGCGCACCACAGGCTTGGTGCGAGGGGCAGAAACATGCCGGACCGGGCTGGCGACGCGCACCACAGGCTCGTGCGAGGGACAGGAACAAGCCGGACCGTACTGGGGACACACACCACTGGCCCTACGCGGGGATCAGGAACGGGCCGGACCGGACTGGCAACACACCCCAGTACCTCTCGCCGTGCCTCTACATTCTCCTTCCCCCTGGTGACCAGTGACTCCCGTAACCTGGCGGCCTCCTTTGCCAACCCGCTGAACCACTCTATCCCGGCCTCCTGCTGCCCCGTCGTCCAGGGCGTGAGCCCCCCCCCCCCCTAAAGGCGGCTTATGGCAACAGCTCTGGTGGACATTCCTGCAGTCAGCATGCCAACTGCACACTCCCGTGAGACATCTGTGGCATTGTGTTGTGTGACAAAACTGCACATTTTGGAGTGTCCTTTTATTGTCCCCAGCACAAGGTGCACCTGTGTAATGATCATGCTGTTTAATCAGCTTCTTGATATGCCACACCTGTCAGGTGGATGGATTATCTTGGCAAAGGAGAAATGCTCACTAACAGGGATGTAAACAAAGTTGTGCACCAAATTAAGAGAAATAAGCTTTTTGTGCATATGGAAAATGTCTGGGATCTTTTATTTCAACTCATGAAACATGGCTCCTTGCCTGATTGGCTGAAACGTTCCATGGTCTCGGTTACCAGGAGGTGCACCCAGCCCCAGGGAGGAGAGTCCCTTTCCATAGGGAATTGAATATTGTTCTGTTATTGATGGATAAATCCTTTGTACAACCGGGAAAGGTGGGTCATTGTTCAGTGCATAATGTTCCCTACATAATGATACAAAACATGGAATGTTCTCCTTGAGGTTATTCACAACGGGGAGAATACACAATATAATTTAACATTTCTACAGCACACAATGATCATAGAATGCATCAGTACACTTCTTGCCTTCCAGCCTTATTTAATGATTTCTCCCAAAAAAGCAAGGATTTTGGTGTTAACAAGAATGTTCTCCTGATTCCATAAGAATGGTCTGGATTCTGTCCATTTAGAGCAGGGTGAGCCATTTGGTGGGCCCCTGCTGTTAGGGTGTCATCCTGTCCTGGATAGAACGTACAAATTGGATGTTCTGCTGTTTAATGGCACTCTGGAGTATTATCTTGTAATCCGGAGTCTGTTGGGAAATGGGGAAAAGAGTGGCCGGGTTCTGTCACGTCTTTTAATCTCTACCGTTGTACTGCCGATGGGCGAGTAGATGTGTCTTGGGTACGGTCTACCAACTGCCAGGCATTTAGAATTGGCCTGGTCTTTCGTCAGCCGGTCAGCGCGACGTCCCTACAACAGGTTAATACCAGGGCACGTTCTCAGTGTGTGATGACCAGCTGGCAAGTGTCTTCACTGACATTTTCAATCTCTCCTTGTCCGTCGGAAATCCCAACATGTTTCAAGATGACCACCATTGTCCCTGTTCCCAAGAACTCCAAGGTAACCTGTCTAAATGACTATTGCCCTGTAGTACTCACATCTGTAATTATTAAGTGCTTTGAAAGGCTGGTCATGACACACATCAACACCATCATCCCAGACACCCTGGACCCACTCCAATTCGCATACTGCCCCAAAAGTTCCACAGATGACGCAATCTCTATTGCACTCCACACTGCCCCCTCCCACCTGGACAAGAAGGGAAATAACTATGTGAGAACTATGCTGTTCATAGACTATAGCTCAGTGTTCAACACCATAGTCCCCTCCTGGATCATCACCAAGCTCGGGACCCTGGGACTGAACACCTCCCTCTGCAACTGGATCCTGGACTTCCTGACGGTCCGGCCCCAGGTGGTGAGGGTAGGCAATAACGCCTCCGCCATGCTGACCCTCAACACGGGGCCCCTACTGTACTCCCTGTTCTCCCACGCCTGGTTGGCCACGCACGACTCCAACACCATCAAGTTTGCTGACAACACCACGGTGGTAGGCCTGATCACCAACGGTGATGAGACAGCCTACAGGGAGGTCGGAGACTTGGCAGTGTGGTGCCAGGACAAAAACCTCTCCCTTCGAAGTCAGTAAGACCAAGGAGCTGATCGTGGACTACAGGAGAAAGAGGGGAGAGCACGCCCACATCGACGAGGCTGTAGTGGAGCGGGTTGAAAGATTCAAGATCATTGGCATCCACATCACTAAGGACTTAACCATGGTCCACACACACCCGCGTAGTCGTGAAGAGGGCACAACAGCACCTCTTCCCCCTCAGGAAGCTGAAAAAATGTGGCATGGGCCCTCAGATCCTCAAAACGTTCTACAGCTGCACCATCGAGAGCATCTTGACTGGCTGCATCACAGCTTGGTATGGCAAATGCACCGCCCTCGACCCAAAAGAACTACAGAGTATGGTGCAGACGGCCCGTACATCACTGGGGCCGAGCTCCCTGACATCCAGGACCTCTATATCAGGCAGTGTCAGTGGAAGGCCCGAACAATTGACAGACTTCCACCACCCAAGCCATAGACAGTTCACTTTGCTACCATCCGGCAAATGGTACCGGAGCATCGACTCTCGGATCAACAGGCTCAGAGACAGCTTCTACCCACAAGCCATAAGACTGCTAAATAGTTAATTAAATTGTTACACAGACTATCTGCATTGACCCTATCTCGCACTGACTCTATGCATACTCACAACACTATACATATATACAGTACCAGTCAAAAGTTTGGACACACCTACTCATTCAAGGGTTTTTCTTTATTTGTCCTATTTTCGACATTGTAGAATAATAGTGAAGACATCAAAACTATGAAATAACATATATGGAATCATGTAGTAACCAAGAAAGTGTTAAACAAATCAAAATATATTTTTTGATATGGTCCAGTCTTTCAAGAATCCATGAGTTAAGAAAAATCTGTTGTCTAACCGACAGAATGACATGTTACAATCTGTGCGCAGATGGTATTCAGAAACTTTGGTTCACCTTTGCCCTTTCATTCAGAGGCAAACTAACCAATCAGATCGCAGGTTATTGTGGAGTGGCCAGATCTGGACGCTCACCGTGAAGTCAACATGGTGAGTACAGTTTATTGATAATATGTCCATATTTTGAATTACTAGCTAATTTAAATCCCCTACTGTATGGAGTGTTTGCCATAAACAATCGTTGTATGAAAGGGGATAACCCACATAGCTGTATTTAATTAGCTTGGTGTGTTTCTGCAACTGTTATTAGCCGGCTAGCTAGCTAAGCCAACAGTTAACGTTAGCTAGCTTGCAGCTGCTCCGCTAACGTTAGCCTTTTTCAGTACCTAGCAAAAGTTAGACAAGCGGCAATGTGGGTAATGTGGATGAGTTAGACGTGTGTGAACAAATCACGTTATCTAACTAGCTAGTAAGATGTTGGGGTTGACACTCCGCGAGAATAGCAGCTAGCTAGTTAGTCAATGTATTAAATAGTTAAGGCTAGCTAGGTAGCTATGTTTGCTAGCATTGGCGGTAACTGTATTAGCTATCTAGCTAGCCTGCCTGTTATTAGCAAAATTGGGTTAACTAAACAGCCCGCGAGAAGCTAAGGGTGTATTCATTAGTTGGATTCCGTTGCAAAACGTTTCGCAACGAAACCGTCTAAGCGTTTACTCTAGGAACTAAACGGAAGCATACATCGCAAACAGGGAGGGACCGACCTGAATTTGTCCAATACAAACTCGTTTAAATTGCAAAACGTTTTCCGTTTGGAGTAGGCCTAGTACAGGACAGGTTTGAGCCATATTAACGTACAAGCTGTAACTATAAATGGGGTCTCTTGTTCATTCATGTCCAGTCTTCAGATGGTAATAATGGCCAGAGCCAAGCACCTCCTTTTGCTGGTGTCCCACCCTCAGGCATGCCACCGCCTTTTGTAAGTTGGTGTTGGAAAACACCCGTATCTTCTATGTGTTCCCAATGGCATCTCAAAATGGGGTCACATTGAGTGTGTTGAATCTCACAGCATGTCATTCTTTTTTTCACCTGTCTAGATGGGACCACCTGGAATGCCGCCTCATTACCCACCAATGGGAATTCCACCCATGGGACAGAGGCCTCCCAACATGGCTCCCATGCCGCCTGGCATGATGCCACCTGGCATGATGCCACCTATGGGAGGGCCACCGATGGGACAGGTGAGCCGACTATCAAGCTTTAAGATGTCATGATCACTTGTCGTCCCAAAACATGGGCCACACCCTTAAAGATCAATCATTTGGAATTTGTTGGAATTTTCCAGTTTAGCTCTCAACAACCTAGTACACCAATGCGTAGCCTCTTATAGTGATTAGATTTTAATTAAACGTAGGCCTATTGAATTTTGCTGGAGACCTAGGAAGTACAATGTTGGAGTTGGACCAGAAGCTTAGCTTTGGGTGACTCTTTAGAGTGTGTAGCGATGTTATTTAAGTACCACTACCTTTTCCCAAGAGTCGGTACAAAAATATTCCAATCACTTGGGTTGTACTATTTGCTGCCAGCATACACTAACACTCTCCTCCTTATGTATCTGGACAGTGATGCAAAATTGTAAAATTTGGCTCTATACTCCAGCATTTTGGATTTAAGGGCCCAGTTCAGTAAAAAACGTGATTTTCTTGTGTTTTATATATACTTCCAAAAGAAGGTTGGAATAATACTGTGACATTGTGATAATGGCAGAGAGGTTCGGAACTCTCTTATTGGTCTATTAACTTATTTAGGCTGAAATTTCAAGCAGCCTTTTTAAACAGCTCTTACACTAAAAGAGCATTATCATAATTTTCACAATTTCATAGTATTATTCCAACCTTATAGTGTGGAAATATATATAAAACACAGGACAATCACATTTTTGATTGCACTGGGCTTTTAAGAAAAATCATGAGTGAAAAATCATTGAAAATGATGAGTGAGAAAGTTAGAGGCTACAACAAAACATGCTAACCTCTCACCATTAACATTTTCGTCATTTAGCAGACGCTCTTATCCAGAGCGACTTACAAATTGGTGCATTCACCTTATGATAGCCAGTGGGATAACCACTTTACAATATATATATTTTTTTTGGGGTGGGGTAATGGGCGAGGTTAGCATTTTTTTGAGGGGGGTATGATCTTTGCCCCTTTAACTTCCTCACTCATCATTCATGATTATCCATAATCATGGTAGCATCCACATTGATGTAGAAGTGTTCACAAACATCTCTTTTTACTAAAAGTGAGTCAAAAATGACTACATTATTCACCATTCACTTCCTATTGGGCAAAAGTCTAGAGCCCTGGTATGCCTCAAATAAAAGGTGACATTCTGTACTGTCGCCTCATATGAAACATTTGATCTCAAATCCAAAATGCTGGAGTATAGAGCCAAATTCCAAATGTTAGCGTCACTGTCCAAATACATACGGAGGGGAGTGTGTGATCTCATTATCCAAATGAAAAAGGTGTGATCCTAGATGTGTGTGATCCAGCTGCCTGCCTGAGAAACGGGGCTCAGGTGGCGGCGAGGAGCTGCAGATTGGAGCGTCACTGCTTCACAGATCACAAGCTGTGGCTCCGTTCGCACTGTATAAGACTCAGTCAGTCGCTCTCACCCTGCCACGGCTGCTCTCACTGTGTATTAATACCCAGTGTGCCAGGCGGGCGGGAGGGAGGGGGCTTAACGGGTCCGATTAATATTTCATGATGCTCTTTTATTAGATGCCAGGCATGATGCCACCTATGATGCCCGGGATGATGATGCCCCCTCACATGCCAGCTGCGGCGATGCAGCCAACAGGACCGGTAAACTCACTCGCCTGCCTCCTCCACTGCCTCACTGTTGTGCTTTACACTTTTTTTAAAAATAGAGCCCACAAGTTGTCAGGCGTGACACCATTAGCTAACACGGCAAAGTGTAGGAACACTTACCAATACAACTTGAACATGTACATCCCATCTCCATGATAATTATACATTTCTCATTTTAAAAACTTAATTAGCAACATCTTTTCCTCATAGAAATGTACAGGTACAGTTGATCTCTTACAGGGATGCAAACTTGCCACTTTTTGGCGATATTCACCATTTTGATCTCAAAATAGGTACTCCATGTGAATTGTGTAGATCCGTAAAAAAGAGTTTGAGGTGGAGGTCTGACAGTGCGCAGACGCAGTGTATCATCTATTGAGAGATGAGTGCTTCATCCAATATCATGTGTGACAGCTGTGAGCAGCCAGCCGCATCCCCTAACCAGCCATTAGCCAACTCAGCAGCTTCTCTCCGTCCGTTCTTTCGGCGCATCTCCATCAGTTTTTAAATGTTATTTAGCCGTGATGGAGAGCTGGGGTGTGCAGACAGTGATGGGGTTTCTGTTACAGCCTGCAGCGCGAGCAAAGTGTATACTTAGATATCTTTTAATTTTGCCTGTAATAACAAGCAGGCCAGTCAGACTTCGCTGTGACACAGCCTCTGAGTGCTACTGCCATAGAGGAAAAACGGAGCAAAGTGACAGTCAGTCATGCTTGCACCTTTTACACCACAGGTTACTAACCCAAACCCCATTCTACTGTGAATTGGCACACATACTACAGTGCCTTGCAAAAGTATTCATCCCCTTTGCCGTTTTTCCTATTTTGTTGTATTACAACCTGTAATTTAAATGGACATATACAAAATAGTCCAAATTGGTCAAGTGAAATGGAAAAAAATAACTTGTTTCTAAAAATTAAATAACGGAAAAGTGGTGCGTGCATATGTATTCACCCCCTTTGCTATGAAGCCCCTAAATAAGATCTGGTGCAACCAATTACCTTCAGAAGTCACATAATTAGTTAAATAAAGTCCACCTGTGTGCAATCTAAGTTTCACATGATCGCAGTATATATACACCTGTTCTGAAAGGCCCCATAGTCTGCAACACCACTAAGCAAGGGGCATCACCAAGCAAGCGGTACCATGAAGACCAAGGAGCTCTCCAAACAGGTCAGGGATAAAGTTGTGGAGAAGTACAGATCAGGGTTGGGTTATAAAAAAATATCAGAAACTTTGAACATCCCACGGAGCACCATTAAATCCATTATTTAAAAATGGAAAGAATATGGCACCACAACAAACCTGCCAAGAGAGGGCTACCCACCAAAACTCACGGACCAGGCGAGGAGGGCATTAATCAGAGAGGCAACAAAGAGACCAAAGATAGCCCTGAAGGAGCTGCAAAGCTCCACAGCGGAGATTGGAGTATCTGTCCATAGGACCACTAAGACGTACACTCCACAGAGCTGGGCTTTACGGAAGAGTGGGCAGAAAAAAGCCATTGCTTAAAGAAAAAAATAAGCAAACAAGTTTGGTGTTCGCCATAACCATGTGGGAGACTCCCCAAACATATGGAAGAAGGTACTCTGGTCAGATGAGACTAAAATTTAGCTTTTTGGCCATCAAGGAAAACGCTATGTCTGGCGCAAACCCAACACCTCTCATCACCCCGAGAACACCATCCCAACAGTGAAGCGTGGTGGCAGCATCATGCTGTGGGGATGTTTTTCATCGGCAGGGACTGGGAAACTGGTCAGAATTGAAGCAATGATGGATGGCACTAAATACAGAGAAATCCGTGAGGGAAACCTGTTTGTCTTCCAGAGATTTGAGACTGGGATGGAGGTTCACCTTCCAGCAGGACAATGACCCTAAGCATACTGCTAAAGCAACACTCGAGTGGTTTAAGGGGAAACATTTAAATGTCTTGGAATGGCCTAGTCAAAACCCAGACCTCAATCCAATTGAGAATCTGTGGTATGACTTAAAGATTGCTGTACACCAGCGGAACCCATCCAACTTGAAGGAGCTGGAGCAGTTTTGCCTTGAAGAATGGGCAAAAATCCCAGTGGCTAGATGTGCCAAGCTTATAGAGACATACCCCAAGAGACTTGCAGCTGTAATTGCTGCAAAAGGTGGCTCTACAAAGTATTGACTTTGGGGGGGTCAAAAATTGTACATCTTCAAAGTGGTAGGCATGTTGTGTAAATCAAATGATACAAACCCCCAAAAAATCTGTTTTTAATGGCAACAAAATAGGAAAAATGCCAAGGAGGGGTGAATACTTTCGCTAGCCACTGTATATAATTTTAGAAACCATGTCATTGGGCCATTTTAAACTACTCGTGGGCCGCAGGTTTTTGGTTTGATAACAATTCACCTTGTTTAGTCATGTTACATGGCTAGCTAGCTAACAACATGGTACCCCTTGGCTATGTACACGTTTGGATGGCACACGGAGAAGGGATAGATAGCCTAATGAAAGAGATGCATCAAAGGTAAGATGAATATGCCTAATAAATGTAATTTTAAGCTAATTGAAAAATCCATCTCTTTTTCTGGTGTTTCTTAAATTCAGTTTGGTGCCTGAGAGAGAGAGAATTGTATTTTCAGCTGTTTGAAGCTGGTGTACAAAACTGTAAGTAAAAAAAACACAAAAACAAGATGAGCATGAGAGATCTATAACTCACATTTCTATGTGAATTTGGTCATGTAGCTCTAAAAAGTTACGCAAAATCTGCCATTCTACCCTTGAGCAAGTCAGTTAACCCCCAACAACAACTGCTCCCCGGGTGCCGATGACGTCGATTAAGGTAGCCCCCTGCACCTCTGATTCAGAGGGGTTGGGTTAAATGCGGAATAAACATTTGAATACAATGAGTTGTGCAACTGTCTAGGTATTCCCTTACCCAAAATGTGTAGAATTGCAGGAAATTAGCTTTAAAACAGCTAACATTGCCACCACTGCTGGAAAGAAATCCTAGAGGAAACACTAAAGTGTGAAGTTAAATTCAATGTGTTGTATTGAGTAGGGGTGTGAATGTCAGGGACGGGTCCATTTTGAGATGCTGTAGCCAGTACACACGTCGTCAAAATAGTCAGAATTAATCTAAAATAACTTTTGATGTTTTTGCCATGGGGATCTTAGTTGCGCAATTTTACATCTAACTAAGATATTTGGTGGAGTGTTTCTCAATGAAAAGATGTGCATGAAAACGAGTCGTCTCTCGTTGAATGACAACAAAGTCTGTGTGGAGCAGACACAGAGGCAGAGAGAACGTGTGATCGTGAGGGAAAGAAAGCAGTTTCTTTGAGGTATTTCTTCCTGAAAATAAATGATCTAAATCAGGGGTTTCACAAACTCGGTCTAGCACTACACAGTTGATTCAAATAATCAAAGCTAGATGAGTTGGTTATTTGAATCAGCTGTGTAGTGCTAGGGCAAAATACTAAATGTGCACCCGGGGGGGGGGGGGCATAAATAAGTATGCCTTATTTACATTGAAGAACTACTAAAATAGTGATTTCGTCAGGCCACATAGGCAGCAGCTCTATAGAGATGAGATGATGACTTGAAATGAAATAAAACATATGTAATATACACAACTGAAATATTTTATTAAAGGAAACTAATGTGAATAAATTATGGTTAAGCAGTAATGGGCAGACACTACCATCATGGGACTTTTATTAATTGTTTTATTCTGTATTACAGCATTCAACCCACACAGTGCATTTAATGTAAAACCATTTTTTGAATAGAAACCGAAAACTGTGATTATGTAAGGGATTCTGACATTGAATTCTACCGTGCTAATATGCTCTAGAATGCCCTTCAAGCCAATCAAAAACAAGTATTCAACAATGCCAAGGTATAATTTTTCATAATCTAACCGAAATCAACCCGATCTCAAAAAGCACTAATCGCTCAGCACTAGAAAGTATTCAACACCCTTGACTTTTTCCACATTTTGTTGTTTTACAAAGTGGGATTGAAATTGATTTAAATCTACACAAAGTACTCTGTCAAAATGGAAGAAAATGTCTAACATAATTGTTTTATTTTTATAATGTATTGATTAGATAAATATTCAACCCCCTGATTCAATGTTAGAATCACCTTTGGCAGCGATTACAGCTGTGAGTGTTTTGTGGTAAGTCTCTAAGAGCTTTGCACACCTGGATTGTACGATATTTGCCCATTTATTATTTTAAAACTCTTCAAGCTCTGTCAAGTTGGTTGTTGATCATTGTTAGACAGCCATTTTCAAGTCTTGCCATAGATTTTCAAGCCGATTTTTAAGTCCGCTGTAACTAGGGCATTCGGGAACGTTCAATGTCGTCTTGGTAAGCGACGCCAGTGTGTATTTGACCTTGTGTTTTTAGGTTATTGTCCTGCTGAAAGGTTAATTTGTCTTCTAGTGTCATGTTAACCATTGATCCAGTATCTGGGCAGAGGAGGAGACAATGAATATGACTAGTCTCCTCTAGCCCAGTTAGCTACCATTTATTTTCCCATTAGACAGCTCTGCAAGCATTATGTCAAAATGTGTTCGTTACACACCAAATATGGAGTTTCGCTGAGCAACTATCGTCATTTACTGATGTCACACCCGGTATATACTTCCAAAAAAGGTCCAATAAAATTTTACAAGCAACTGGGGGGGAAAATGGTGTCTGGAAAGAATCTATGTATTGTTTCTGACCAAGTGCGCATGCGCCAAATCCACCTCTTCGGCACCTCCAATAAATCATTAATTACTGCCACTCACATGTCGGCTGATCCAGCAGCAGTACAGTATCCCAAAAGAGCACTGATTTTATCACCTACAACAATGTATGAACGTCATATCAACCTGTTTGACACGCGCTACATGGAAGGTAATAATATTTAATGTAAGTAAACAATATAGGGTATGTTTTTCCAGCGATCTTTCTGAAGAGGTAGATTTGGTGATGCACAGTTGGTAAAAAACAATACATAGACAAGACATTTTTTCTGTTGCTTGTAAAAAATTATTTGGACCTTTTTTGAAAGTACATACTGGGCGAGACTAGGGCTGTGTCGGTCACAAAATTTCGTCAAACGGTGATTGTCAAGCAAATAACTGTCAGTCTCATGGTAATTGACAAACACATTTAGCATCTCCTGGCTTCCACACACAGCCTACAAGACACTGATGCAGACCTTTGGAACATCTACATTTTAATAAGTCTAATAAATCCATGTAATATAGCCTACACCTTCACAATAAATCCATTATTTATTTTAGACAGGTCTAAAGAAGCATGATATGAAGAAAATGTAGTCTATTTCAGAAGAACAGAATAGCATACTCTGAGTTGTCCTTATGTCAGGCCCTGGTCTGTCTATGCCATATGGATGTGGGCTACACTAGTTCATTTAGCAGACAAGATTTACTTAGAATTCCGTGACATTATTTTATATTATTTTATAGTATGAAGAATACAATTGAACATAGCGGAATAAAATAGAAAGGATATTTTCTCCAAACAATTTGAGGGAGTGCGCACATGCGGTTATTCTATGTTGAGCTGTTAACAAAGAAACAGGTACTCCTATATGCTTAATTTAGAGTTATTCATGTAACTTTAGTTGTGATACAAATGTTGGGCTATATGTTTAGATTTTATATACATTGTAAGGCTGCATGATGCGACTCTAATGATGATTTGAAAAAAGTTGCTTGAAAGGCATGAGCTCTGCTTTGTTTTTTGTGCAGGCTGTACACATTTCATCAGTCTCTCATTCACAATTCGACAAGCACTTGATAATGCCTCGAATTTCACGGCGGCATCCCCTTTGTGTGGCCATAATGAATCCTAAAAAAATCCATGCCTTTAGCAGCCAGTGGCCGTTGTGCCCTTGGCCCGGAGTGCTGCGTTGTGCCCTTCTCCCTGAGTGCCGCGTGCTCCGAACCACGTCTCACTCACATGGCTCTCCATCACGTGATCTGGTCTTTCTCACAGGCTACAAGTGAAGACCGACACATCGGGGACGCAACTGCGTGCGTCCTTATCCAATTCCGAGGTGCATATTGAAGAAATTGGAAGAACTGTCCACATTTACTTTTTGTCAGCCAACAAGATGAGTAGGCCTAACGAACAGCAAAAGCACTAGCCTATGTCAATCTACTATCCCCCATTGTACAAAAGTTGACCTATTCTGTGCGAGAAATAAATATTCCAAACATAGTCTGGGACAGTTGTGGGATGCGATAGATCCCAAATTAATATTAAGCACTAGCATCCCAAAAACTTTTTTTACACAATGTGGCTGATGCAACAGATCAGAACGTTTAGCTTAAAATGTTGATAAACTATTAGTCTATTTCTTCACATTATAAGCGCAGCAATGCGTGCACGGCGGTAGGCTATAAGCGCAAATGTTCTATTAGCGGGAAAACACCATTATCAAAAGTGACCACAAATGCGATTATGCATTTAATGCTTTTATTATAAAGGTGCATTTTTATGGTGAGAATTATCTTCCCCAAACTCACGCGCTGCTTATGTATGCCAGTTAGGCTCTACACCCCTTGTAAAGCGGATTAATGTGCTTAATTTTAAGAAGTTATTTGGCCACATTAGTTGTGATACAAACCTTATGAAAACATATAGGCCTATGGGCTAGGCTACATGAGGTGTGCAACTATGATTTGAAAAAGTCGCAAAAAGGTATTGATTCTTGCCTTACGCTGGCCATCATTCACAAGTGATAATATATCATTCACAAGTTATAGGCTAATATTGTCACCCATCAGACTATTCTTGATTTAATCTTGTCTTTACATATACTAAATAATATATGTGTGAACTTTTGTTTTGAATTAGAATGGACCATTATCATGCACCTATCTCGAAGCAGGGGCAGGGTAAAAATGTCATCTATGCACTTAAATAGCGAATGGGGCGGCAGGTAGCTTAGTGGTAAAGAGCGTTGTGCCAGTAACCGAAAGGTCGCTGGTTCTAATCCCCGAGCCGACTAAGTGAAAAATCTGTCTGTGCCCTTGAGCAAGGCACTTAACCCTAATTGCTCCTGTAAGTCGCTCTGGATAAGAGTGTCTGCTAAATGACTAAAATGTAAATGTAAATGTTTTCCCGTGGTTCATTTTCATGCCAGCCAGGTAGGCTATACTCCTGTTGTAAAGATAAGCAATGTGCTTAATATTAGGAAAGTTGAAAAATAAATATAGTAGGCTTAGCCAATAGAAAGCTGATGGGATCCTCCTCTATTTAGTAGAGGCCATCACTCTGTTTTCTCACGCAATTGCATAGCCTATATAAATGTTGCGCAACATGAGCACATGTGCTCTCATGAAGTGTTTGATTCAATTTTCGATTACATTTGTATTGATGTCAGAGTGATTAGAGGGACAATAGAGTGCTGAGTACCAGGCAGTTAGCAAGTTTGGTAGGCTACTAATGACCATCAGCAGCATCAGAGCTTGGAGAAGCCTAATTACCGTGACTAAACAGTCACATGGAATTTGACTGCCTTCATGACTCATGACCGCCGGTGTGGCGGTGATACGGTCACCGCAACAGCCCTAGGCGTGACAGCAGTAAATGACGATAGTTGCTCAGGGAAACTCCATATTTTGTGAGAAACTAACATATTTTGACATAACGCTTGCAGAGCTATCTAATCAAACCCGTTATCAAAGTTGACAAGATATCATACCCGTTCACAGGGTTGGTTAACTCTGGAGATTCCTTTGGTGTCTAGAGAGTTAAGCAAATCAGCCTTTTAATTTCCTTGCACAAAAAAATCCACTTTGACATTGAGGTAGATCAGTGACACAATCTCAATTTAATCCACTTTAAATTCAGGCTGTAACACAACAATGTGGAAAAAATCAAGGGGGTTGAATACTTTCTGAAGGCACTGTATATGTCAGTTTGCTTTGGATAAATGCTATCTATAGTAGAGTGGAGTAGCTCAAATGAATACAATTTGTGTCTCAGTAGACATTCAAAGTGCTTCGGGGATAAGATCATTTCAATCTTAAATTGGAGAAAAGTCAAAGAAAAACCTTTTTTTTTTCTTTTTTTTGTCACTTAAAACATCTTGTTAAATGGAGCATCACATCCTTACACTTCAGGTTTTTCCCTCAAGCAAATGATTGAGTGATTTATGGAAGCTACATTTCAGTCTGTGTTTTGCTTTTGACAGCAGCCAGCTGTTTAACTCTATGCACTAAGAGCTGCAAGCTGTCAAATAAACCTTCCACCTGTCAACTCGGATGTATCAAGACCACAGAGATTTTTGTCTTTGTGTTAGACGCTCGAGGGTACAAGCTTGTGTTGTGTTAATGAAGCAAATTCAGGTCATAATCATTTTGTTAACTAATAAAAATATATCTTCCACAGCCTGGAGTGGACACAACTGGTAAGGCTTTGAATCAATCTATTCTTTAAATTTAGAGAGAGCTTTTATTTTTGTCGTCCGAGTGATTTGATGAATTCTAATTATTACATTGTTTTTTTTTTATAGTCACTGCTGTGCCTGGAACAGTTGTAAGTACAGCCTAATTTCTGTGGATAAGTTAATTTAATTTCATGTAATGATCTATAGCAGTATCTAAATGACCGACCCTGCTATGTGTAATGTTCAACAGGGTACCACAAATGGCACGCCACAGGATGACCAACCGAAGAAGGTTAGTGAACATTTTGAAGTGGAAGCCTTTACTCTTCCTAACCGCAGATGGACCATTGTTTTCTGTCCAAAGATATAGCCTTAATTGAATTTTGTTATAGCCTTCCAGCCATCGATGGAGATTTTTTTTGTTGATTAAATACTGCTTGGTTAATGGTTTGAAATATAATACTTTCCTTGCAAATGTAGAATTTGTATCACAGAGCCATTCATTTACCTGTTGCAAGGGTGTTGTCGAGTGGTGAAGGCAAAGTGTTATTGTCATCCTCAGAAGTCTCTGTGGACAGAACACAAGTCTCTGGATGGGAAGACCTACTACTACAACACAGAGACCAAACAGTCTTCTTGGGAGAAGCCTGACGACCTGAAATCTCCTGCAGAAGTAAGGCCTTACAAACTGAACCCCCGTCCCCATCCCTCCCCCCACACACGCTATGGCTGCATCCTAAATGTCACCCTGTTCCCTTCATAGTTCACCACTTCCCTTCATAGTGCACCCGTAGGGCTTGTAAAAAATAAAACATTTGTGCTATGTAAGGAATAGGGTACCATTTGGAACGTAACTACTATCCCTCCCCAACTATCTTCTCATTAACAGTAGAGGCCATTCCCAGGCTCTCTAGCCACTGCCACCATTTGTGGAGCGTGTCTAGACCATACCTGGGTTCAAATACATGTGTATTTGTTATTTAAATACTTTTTTCTGTGTATTTTAGTATTTTCAAATACACAGCCCAAAGCAAGTACTTTTATTTTAGTATTTAATGGTTATTTGTAAAAACCTAATTGTCAACCAAATTGTTTTTGAAAGTATTTTCAAATACTGAATGTCTGAATACTTGTTTTGAAATGTATTGAAAAGTAATTGAAATACCTGATAGTATTTGAACCCAGGTCTGGTAGAGAGACACAATTTTTGCTTTGTGCTTTGCAGCAAATGCTGTCTAAATGCCCATGGAAGGAGTATAAATCGGACAATGGCAAAGCGTACTACTACAACTCCCAGACTAAGGAGTCCCGGTGGACCAAACCCAAAGAGCTTGAAGATCTGGAAGGTGAGCCTGTGCATTAATGATCCTTTTATAATCTACTGTGAAGTGATCTACCAGGGGTCGCATTTACTCATCCTTTAGACCAGTGTAAATAGCAGGGGGTCGTCAGACAAAAACAGCTACTGGTAATCATAGATCAGTCTCATCCCTTTGCATGAATTCATCTTTGCACTATTCATTCTTAGACATGAAATGTGTTCCTCAAAGTTTCCTGCGAGGCATTGTTAACAGGTGTATCTCCTCTCTTTTAGCCATGATAAAAGCAGAGGAGAATGGGTAAGAGCTGCTTATTATTACCACTACTCTACAGTTTGCTTGTGCGGTAGGGTTGGGCGATATTACGATAGCATCATATATCGACGATGATTGACAGCCATCATCGACGTGGACAACATTGTGATGTCACAAACGATGGTTTAGCCTTTGAATTTGAACGGAGTCGGGCAGCGCACAACAGCGCAACATGCCAAATGGCCTATTCCCTATTTGCCATAGCCTACAAAAAAAAATATGTATTCACTAACTGTAAGTCGCTCTGGATAAGAGCGTCTGCTAAATGACTAAAATGTAAATGTAATAATGCAAGAGAACAATGTAGATTGTAGACAACGGAGAGCACCAAAGCAGCGCAAAATGTCAGATAACGTGTTTTTTTTCCCCCTCTCCTCTCCAATGTTGGATGATCATGGGCCTTTTGCAGCGGACACTCCGTTGTCTGGCTTATTGTTTAAAAATCTTGATTTCCCTTTTTCTCCCCAATCCCCATTCAATTTGAATGATCAACCATCGAATGAATCTATAGGCCTAGCGGAGTTCTACATCAGAAAGTTGTTTGCACAATAGCCTAAATAAAAACATAGTATAGTAATAATGAGAGAGAGAACAAACAATTGCAAGAAAGAGTAAATGAATAGGAAGTTTAAACAAACCTGATACGTTTCTGCTTTACTTGATCAAAGTTTAGGCCAAGTAAATTGTTCCGTTGGAAAATCCATCCTCGCAAACCAAACAACATAGGCCTACTACTCATACTGTCAAAGGTTGCAGTAAATGTTACTTTGGTATTTTATTAGGATCCCGATTAGCTGTTGCGATAGCAGCAGCCACTCTTCCTGGGGCCCACACAAAACCTAAAACATGAAATAATACAGAACATTAATCTGCGAGAACAGCTCAAGTTTCGGAACTACATAAATGTAAAATGTCACTACATATCAATACATACACACAATATCTAGGCCAAATAGGGGAGTTGTGAGGTGTCGCTTTCTGTTTTTTTAAACCAGGTTTGCTTTTCTCTTGAGCAATCTGAGATGGAAGGGAGTTCCATGCAGTCATGGGTCTATATAAAACTGTATGTTTTATTCAATTTGTCCTGGATATGGGGACTGTGGAAAGACCCCTGGTGGGGTAAGTGTGTCAGTGCTGTGTGTAAGTTCATTATCCAAACAATTTGGAATTTTCTACACATTCATATTTATTTATAAAAAGAAGTGATGCGGTCAGTTTCTCCTCTACTTTTATCCAAGAGAGACTGGCATGCATATTATTGATATTAGCCCTCTGATAACAGTGAAGAGAAAGACATGCCACTTTGTTCTGGGCCAACTGCAGTTTTTCTAGGTCCTTCTTTGCAGCACCTGACTTCTACAAGTTACACTTATGAATTAATATTTATAATATTGTCTAAGTGTTTATTAATGTCCTTGAATTTGCTCAACGGGCATTACACAAGCTCCCGCAGCAGTGCTTTCAATAAGCGGGAATACAAAATAAATGCATTTTGAATAGCTTACTAACAAATTGTGCATTAATATCAACGCCAACAACAATCAGATACAACAAATGATTGTAAAACTTTATAAAACTTGAAAAAGGAATGAACTTGGCTTAGGCCCATTATCCCTATGTCTTTTATATCAAACTGTAAAAATCCTAAATATTCAAGTTATAAAATAAGTATGAAAATAACCAAATAGTGCAAAAAACAAACAGTGCAAATAAGTATTTCAAGGCTTGACAGAATGTTTATTTCGAATAAGATGCATCTGGATTTAAAAATAGGCTATATTTAAAACTAAATAAAAAGTACAATGAGGAACCATTAGGTCTAGTTGTTTTTTACCCTGTCGTAGACCTATCTAAAGACTTGGGAGTAGAGTGACAATATTTCCTGCTGTACTGAAAACGCGTTCAGACGGAGTGCTTGTTGCACAGATGCATATGTATTTTGGGTGACGTTGGCCATGACTGGAAAGCGACCCTCATTTCCTCTCCACCATTCTAGGTGGGTCATCGTCTCCTCCGATGGCATCTTCAATGAGGTAGGCTGGGTGCTCTGCTCTGGACCGCTGTTGCGACTTTCCTTTACCAAGGAAAACTAGTGTTTTATTCTTAACAGGGATTTAATGATATTGTTTGTGGCTTTTGTAACAATTTAAATGAGAAGAATTACATATAGCCTAGTTTAAGCACTTAATCATAACCAATGTGTGACTACAGTCCAGATATTGCGTCCGTCCCGCGACTCGACCCCTCCGTCCGCCCGACCCACAGTTTATAAGTTAACTATCGAAGATGTGCCAAATAAATTATCTCCAGCTCAGGGCTCCAGCTATGCATTTGGTTTGCTAACTTGCTAGTTAAGTGGCTAGCTTGCAAGATCAAACTTCTTGGTTACAGCAGAGACAATCAATCCCCCCCTGGATCAAGATCCCTGCTGCCTACATAGTTTTTTTGGGGGGAAGGAAATAGCGCCCCTTGTGTGCACTGCCTGTAATACCGTATACCCAATATGGTACAGGAACGGTATGAACATCTGGATACCGCCCAACCCTACTCTACAGACTGTATTACCTAAAGGAAAAAATATATTTGTAGATGACGGAACACATTAACTTCATCAAATGATCAGACATCTCCTGTAATCTTGGTCTATTATTTATAGATCTATGAGAATGGAATGTCGTAATTATTGTGATATTGAAGAGGCACTCTCCTGTTGTTATTACAAAGAGCATCATGGGGAATGCGCTATCAAGGTCCTCCGTCACTACTAACTGAACTGATTGCAGGACATCGGAGGTAGGCGCTCCTTGCACTGTTATCGCCCCCACCCTTCAGCTCGACAGCGCTGCTGTCATGGCGACCATGATGATGGAAATGCCGGTCATGATGCCGGCTACAACAGTTTCGGAGGAACAGATGTCCCAGGTGCCCATGCATGTAGCTGAGGTCAGCGCTGACACGCCTGTCAACTCCACAGAAGACGCGGCCGTCATGGAGGCCTCAGCCAGGTACTACAGCCCATTTACCACCAGAGAGTATAGAGACAGGCCCACAGCACAGGCTTACAATGAACTCACCAGGAATATTACTCTACTGTAATAAAGGCACCGACCCTAATGTACAAACCTATGGTAAACATCAGCTTTTCCTGTCAGTGGGGCAACCTACATTATCAGAACACATACCGTCATTGCCAGGGGCTGGTCTAGTGGTAATGTGCCACCCATGGACCACATATGCCCTTGAAGTAAAGTTTCCCTTTTACTTATCTCCCCATCTCATATTCTAATCCAAATATGCCAATAAAACTTCAAAATACCCAGAGCAATGTATCTCTAAAAAAAGAACACACACCATCAGACTACCAAAAACCTTGGTGCTGTTTTATCTGAGGACATTATTAATATATTTTTCTTCCTTTCTCTCTTTCCTTTAGTAATGACGCTTCAAAGGACGAGAGGCCAGAGCTGGTGAAGAAAACGTACAAGTGGAACACGAAAGAAGAGGCCAAGCAGGCCTTTAAAGAGCTCCTGAAGGAGAAGGTGAGGATTCCATATGGGATTTCATTACTCTCTGGCTGCTCAGTCGGGACTCCTGCATGAATCATCAGCAATGTGTCATCCCAATGGTCATTGGAAATTATATAATCTGAACATTACATCTCGCTCATAAAGGCAAAGCACAGTCATCAACCGTGTCAATGAAGCCCCTGCAGCTTGTGCGAGCCGGAACGACTCATAGGGCAGGAGCCTATTTCCTGTTTCTGTAGTGTGAGGCAGCTTGATGTACAAGTACACCCCCTGGACAGGACACTAGTCTATCACAGGGCCTTACCCCCAATCTATCTCCTTAATGCTGAGTGCTAAGCGGAGACGCATCAGGTCCCATTTTTACAGTCTTTGGTATGACTAGGCCAGGGATTGAACTCACAACCTTCCAATCTTAGGGCGGACACTAACCACAAGGCCACTGAGTTGGTTGCAGCTCTCCTAGCTAGCCATCAAACTGAATCTCAACCACACACTTTTGTCTGAGAACCACTTTAATCCGGTTTGATAATAAGGTGCTCGTAGCGCTGTAATGACTCGACTGTAATAAAGGTGGAGTGTCCTCCCACCTAAAGATTGTTTACCAATATGGCCCTCCTGGACTCCACACTTAATCCATCTCACTCATCGTGAGCACTCTCTGGTTTTAGCATGATTGCTAATCCTCACCGCGCCTCCTGTTGCTGTGGCGGTGGATGTGTTTATTTTGACCAAGGAGGTGGCTCAGCACAGCTATATTTAGGTATTTTTAATTTGGCACACAAAGCTCCTCTGAGATTGCGCTCACCGTTTCCCTGCGAGATCTTAATGGCTCTGTCTTTATGATTAGCGTTATTGGATGAAGGCACGGGTCCGGATTAAGACAGCGGAGAGTGGCGTGCTCCACTGGGTTAGAATAACTCTGGTTGTGTCTCAAATAGCAGCCTATTCCCTGTATAGTGCACTACTTTTGACAAGTGCACTTTATAGGGAATAGGGTGCCATTTGGGACTCATACTGTGACAAGGCAAATGCATGCCCAGAAATCATCTGTTCATAATGGATGAATGAGTCGCTCTACTGGAGAAAGGTAGGCAAAAAGGCCACTTACATAAGCTGTCTCTCTCTGGCATTTCTTTAAATTATTGGTACTCAACCCCTCTTAACCCTGCATCCTATTAGTAATTAAAGATGCACTATGCAGAAATTGCTCTGCCATTTCCTGGTTGCTAAAATTCTAATAGTAAGCCTAATTTCAGTTAATGTGACAAAACTAGCAAGTATAGTGTAGAGAATCATTGTACGGTGATCTAATTCACTGTGAAATATATTTTATGCTGGTGTACAAAAGTAAAAGACTAAAAAACTAAACTTAAGAACTGGAATCATAGAAATAACACACACAGAACAGACCTACCGCTTCTTAGACTTGCTTTCAATGAGAATGACAGATCTATAACTCAGATTTCTATGTGAATTTGGTCGGCTCGCCCAAAAAGTTACATATTGCAGTTTTAAGAAAATGTATCGCCTTGGATGGAACAAGCCAGAGAATCTTAGCACCACTCCTTGTTGCATCTTTCAGATAGGCTACACATGCATACATGTTCCCATAAACGGCAGAACTGGTTCAAATGTATTTTATTTTGTTCCTTATTTTACCAGGTAAGTTGACCGAGAACACATTCTCATTTACAGCAACGACCTGGGGAATAGTTGCAGGGGAGAGGAAGGGGGATGAATGAGCCAATTGGAAGCTGGGGATGATTAGGTGGCCATGATGGTATGAGGGCTATATTGGGAATACATGTGTATTTGAGTATCTGGTATTTAAAATACTTTTTGTGTATTTAAGTATTTTCAAATACACAGCCCAAAACAAGTACTCTTATTTGCACATTTGAATGGTTATTTGTAAAAACCAAATAGTCTGCCAAATTGTATTTCAAATACACTGACTCAAATACACACTCAAAATGGCCAGAAACAAATAACTTTCTTCTGAAACTCGTCAGTCTATTCTTGTTCTGAGAAATGAAGGCTATTCAATGCAAGAAATTGCCAAGAAACTGAAGATCTCGTACAACGCTGTGTACTACTCCCTTAACAGAACAGAACAAACTGGCTCTAACCAGAATAGAGAGAAGTGGGAGGCCCCGGTGCACAACTGAGCAAGAGGACAAATACATTAGTGTCTAGTTTGAGAAACAGACGCCTCACAGGTCCTCAAATGGCAGCTTCATTAAATAGTACCCGCAAAACACCAATCTCAACGTCAACAGTGAAGAGGCGACTCCGGGATACTGACCTTCTAGGCAGAGTTGCAAAGAAAAAGTCCAGTGTCTGTGTTATTTTGCCCATCTTAATCTTTTCTTTTTATTGGCCAGTCTGAGATATGGCTTTTTCTTTGCAACTCTGAAGGTCAGCATCCCGGAGTCGCCTCTTCACTGTTGACGTTGAGACTGGTGTTTTGCGGGTACTATTTAATGAAGCTGCCAGTTGAGGACCTGTGAGGCGTCTGTTTCTCAAACTAGACACTAATGTATTTGTCCTCTTGCTCAGTTGTGTACCGGGGCCTCCCACTCCTCTTTCTATTCTGGTTAGAGCCAGTTTGCGCTGATCTGTGAAGGGAGTAGTACACAGCGTTGTACGAGATCTTCAGTTTCTTGGCAATTTCTCAAATAGAATAACCTTAATTTCTCAGAACAAGAATAGACTGACGAGTTTCAGAAGAAAGTTATTTGTTTCTGGCCATTTTGAGCCTGTAATCGAACCCACAATTGCTGATGCTCCAGATACTAAACTAGTCTCAAGAAGGCCAGTTTTATTGTTTCTTTAATCAGCACAACAGTTTTCAGCTGTGCTAACATAATTGCAAAAGGGTTTTCTAATGATCAATTAGCCTTTTAAAATGACAAACTTGGATTGGCAAACACAACGTGCCATTGGAACAAAGGACTGATGGTTGCTGATAATGGGTCTCTGTATGCCTATGTAGATATTCCATAAAAAATCTGCCGTTTCCAGCTACAATAGCCATTTACAACATTAACAATGTCTACACTGTATTTCTGATCAATTTGATGTTATTTTAATGGACAAAAAATTTGCTTTTCTTTCGAAAACAAGGACATTTCGAAGTGACCCCAAACTTTTCAACGGTAGTGTATGTGAAAGTAATTGAGATATTTGAACCCAGGTCTGGTACACGAGTGCATAAATTCAATATGTAGGCTACTCCCAGCACAATGTATTGTTTACTGTTGATGGAAATGTAAGCTGACCTCATACACAGCTTTGCTACATATGAGCTGTAATGGAGATTTATACAGCTGGGTTGATTTGAGTGTTGACTAGAGTACTCCATATATGAATCAAATCTTAATGCTTGATATCCTCTTTTCAAATTTCAGGGCGTTTCATCCAATGCGTCTTGGGAACAAGCCATGAAAATGATCATCAATGACCCACGCTACAGGTACCCACCCACCACCTTGGTTTTCTGATTATGCTAATGTCGTACATGAATATTAAATTACTTTTCTAACCAGCTGTTTGATGTTTATTTTTTCTTCCCTTTTTTACATTGAAGTGCCCTGCCCAAATTAAGTGAAAAAAAGCAGGCCTTCAATGCTTACAAGGTGCAGACAGAGAAAGAGGAGAAGGAGGAGGCCAGGCTCAAATACAAGGAGTCCAAGGAAACATATCAGAGATTTTTGGAAAATCACGAGAAAATGACATCTACCACCAGATACAAGTAAGTGCCTTTCTTGGCGAAGTCAAGTTGTGTCCGAAATGGCACCCTATTCCTTATAATATAGTGCACTACTTTTGACCAGGGTCAGTAAGAATAGGGTGCTATTTAAGCCTCAGTCTCTATACTCCTTTGTTTCTGTCATTGATATGTGGTTCCTAGAGTTGCCAATATGTGGAACTATTGAGATTATCAATGAAACCACACAGACATGATCCGAGTGAGTTACTGGCTAATGTGTGACCGGAGCCCCGACAATATGCCCCCGCTTAATCATTGACGCTGACCTTTCTGTGGTGTAGTGTTTGTGGTAAGTCCATGGCCCATATCTAGCCATACCAGATGTATTATTTGCGGATGAGTAGACCCTAATAGTACACATCCAGAATAAATCGCAGGCAGATTGGTTTATGAACTTCCCCCAACCCTAAAATGAAACATTGCTTTATCAGATAGATTTAGCATTTTGACTAACCCTGCATGTGAATCCACCATATTCATTACCATTTTACATGTACATTTAAGTCATTTAGCAGACACTCTTATCCAGAGCGACTTACAAATTGGTGCATTCAACTTAGGATAGCCAGTGGGACAACCACCACTGGGGGAGGGGGGGTGTAGAAGGATTACTGTTATACTATTCCAGGTATTCCTTAAAGAGGTAGGTACCATGCAGTCTCTCTCTGTCTCTCTCTCTCTCTGTGTTTCTGTCTGGGTGTGAACTGTAAAAGTCACTGACATGGCTCAAGGGAAAGTGATCGACTGGTGACCTTGACAACCAACCAGTTTGGAGGCCACTGTTGTCGTGGCGACTCCATGTTGTGTGTGTGTGCTGGGCTAGCCTAGGATGAACAGCTGGGGGGTGACATCAAGGTTGTCTGACTCTGTCACGTTACACTCATTCTAGAAATACTACTTCTCCGCTGGCCTCACTGCTAGTATGGAGTACATGAACTTGATTTGGTTTACCTACGTCATGAGGTATTTTAAACACATGTTTCTTCTCATGAACATTGTAGGTACATTTTTTCTGTCTTGTAAAAGTTCAAAGTGAAATAGTCTTTCTTGGACAATGTGCAATTTTCTCAGTCGCAGCAGCAGTGCTTTGAGACGGGCGAGATCAGGAGAAGTGATTATTATAGCTTGTGTAATGCTGCCCTCGTGTGGAGTAGTCATTGCATTTGGATTCCCGATTTTCAACTTATTCCCTCTTGATTCTGGGAATTTCCAAATGGGATTTCAGGGAATTTGGGGAAAGTTACTGGATTTTCGCAACCATCTTTGTCATGCATGTCATGTTTTTTCATGACCGTGGTTGTCTCTGTGAACCAGGAAAGCAGAGCAGATGTTTGCAGAGTTGGACGTGTGGAGCACCGTCCCAGAGAGGGACAGACTGGAGATCTATGAAGATGTCCTATTCTACCTGGCCAAGAAGGAGAAGGTCCGTGTTACTGGGTGCCTCCCAAATGGCACCCTATTCCCTATATAAATTAGTTTGAGTAAAATAATTGATTGAATCCTTTGCTGTCTGAAGAACACAGTAATACTATAAGGTTATTATGCAGAGTTGCAAATTGCAGTACATTTTACAACCCTACCATTATCTGTCAGTGTGTGGACCTCCGCCTAACTAACGTCTGTTCCATCCTTGTCCTGTGTTTGTATGTATGTATGTATGTATGTATGTATGTGTGGGTGTGTGGTATAGGAGCAAGCCAAGCAGCTGAGGAAGAGGAACTGGGAGGCGCTGAAGAACATCCTTGACAACATGGCCAACGTGACCTACCGCACCACCTGGTCCGAGGCTCAGCAGTACCTACTGGACAACCCCACCTTCGCAGAGGACGAAGAGCTCCAGAGTACGCAGCACACTGTCATTCATACTGGTGTGCGTCCCAAATGGAACTCTATTCCCTACATAGGGCACTACTTCTGAGCTGCACTCTATAGGGCTCTGGTCAAATGTAGTGCACTATGTAGGGAATAGGGTGCCATTTGAGACACAACCTTACTCAGAGTGCTGCGTTCATATAACTAGAGCAGTAGAGCCGTTACATGTGCGTCATTAAGAAAGAAAGATTCCGTCTGTGAGTTTGAATATGTGAACGACTGAACAGGCTGATTAGCTGAAGTCGCTAACTGACTGCCCTGTACAGTCAGGTGCTGTGGTTTGCACCGGTGCAGCTGTGTGAGTAAAATAGTGATTCCATTTTATGTGAGTGCTCTGTTGACTCCCCCTCTCTCTTTCTGTCTCTCCGTCTCGCTCTTCTGGCTTTCTCTGTCTCTGATCTCTCTCATTTTCTCTCTCTGTGTCCTCTTATCTCTCCTCTCTCCTATCTCCATGTTCGGCTCAGACATGGACAAGGAGGACGCTCTGATCTGTTTCGAGGAGCACATCCGAGCGCTGGAGAAGGAGGAAGAGGACGAGAAGCAGAAGACTCTGCTGAGGGAGAGGAGGAGACAGCGCAAGAACAGAGAGTCCTTCCAGGTGAGAAAGCAGGTTGAGAGCTTCAAGTTCCTTGGTGTCCACATCACCACATCACCAACAAACTATCATGGTCCAAACACACCAAGACAGTCGTGAAGAGGGCACGACAAAGCCTATTCCCCCTCAGGAGACTGAAAAGATTTGGCATGGGTCCTCAGATCCTCAAAAAGTTATACAGCTGCACCATTGAGAGCATCCTGACTGGTTGCATCACCGCCTGGTATGGCAACTGCTCGGCCTCCGACCGCAAGGCACTACAGAGTGTAGTGTGTATGGCCCAGAGGAAGGCCCTAAAAATTGCGAAAGACTCCGGCCACCCTAGTCATAGACTGTTCTCTCTGCTACCGCACGGCAAGCGGTACAGGAGCGCCAAGTCTAGGTCCAAAAGGCTTCTTAACAGCTTCTACCCCCAAGCCATAAGACTCCTGAACAGCTAATGAAATGGCTACCTGGACTATTTGCGTTGTCTCCCCCACCCCCACCTACCCACATGTACATATTACCTCAATTACCCTGACTAACCTGTGCCCCAGCACATTGACTCTGTACCGGTACCTCCTGTATATAGCCTCGCTACTGTTATTTTACTGCTGCTCTTTAATTATTATTATAATTTTTCTTTTTTACTTATCTATTTTTTACTTAATACCTTTTTTTCTTAAAACTGCATTGTTGGTTAAGGGCTTGTAAGTAAGCATTTCACTGTAAGGTCTACACCTGTTGTATTCGGCGGATATGACAAATACAATTTGATTTGATTTTGAAAGACTGGCATACTCTACCCCACCGTCTAGCATTTTGGAAACATTGTGTAGACCGTAGACAATCCTGATACGAAATGGCAAGTGCAAACCGAGCCCTTTGCTGTCAACCAGAGTCACACTCTCGGAGGGTGTCTCAGGGGCAGTAGGGATATGGGAAGAAAAACATTTTCCAATCACACATGCGTAAAATACACACTTGTACATTTGTGAAATAGGACAAATATAAGCACCCACCTCAATATTATATTATTATTATTTTATATATATCACACACTACAATAGATACAGCAGATTTTTAAAGGACCAGATATATATATACAGTAGTTGTCTGCTTCATGTTTTCTTTTTTAACCATGACAACCCTAAGGGCAGCACGTAGCCTAGCGGTTAGAGCATTGCTGGTTCGAATCTCCGAGCCGACATAATTGCAGATTTAGGCTGTGACCCCCCACTCTCCGAGGGTGTGGGATATGCAAAAAAACACATTTCCAAGTCACACATGCACATAAATTACACGTGTGTGTGTAATATGACAAATATAAGCACCCACCCCCAAATTCTTTTTTGCATAAAACTTACCCTAACCCAGACTAAAGAAAAAGCCAAATGGACAGTCAGGAGTTTGACTGTAACACTGTGCTGGAAAAGTACAGGAATATAGGAGAGAATGTTTGTGTGTAAATCCCTCTTGGGGACAAGTGACATTGGTCATTTCAGTTGATTTGCTGAGCTCAGCCTTGTTGTTTTCCCCAGAAATTCCTGGATGAGCTCCATGACCATGGTCAGCTCCACTCCATGTCTGCCTGGATGGAGATGTACCCCGCCGTCAGCTCAGACATCCGCTTCGCCAACATGCTGGGCCAGCCAGGTACGACCACGCTCTCTGCATGCGCACTCATGCACTTGTACACACATACTCATGACACTCACTCACACGTTCTAAGCCACCGCGTTGATATTGTCAAATCATCCTATTGTTCTGGTTCATGGGCGATGCCTTTTTATAACTCTTTAGTGTTGTCATAACCATGTGTTGTCGGAGCACATCTTGAATAACATGTGCATGTTAGTTTATGGTGTCTATTCTGCAGGCTCCACTCCCCTCGATCTGTTCAAGTTCTATGTGGAAGACCTGAAGGCTCGCTACCATGACGAGAAGAGGATCATTAAGGATATCCTGAAGGTAAGAGATGTTACCTCCTGTGTTTACTGCCACATAGTGATCGAGACTCAAATGGCACCCTATTCCCTATTTAGTGCACTACTTTTTACCTATATTTTGCATTATTTTTCCGGTTTAGTGCACTACTTTTGAGTAGCTAGAGTAGGGTGCCATTTGGGACGCATTTAAATCTACTTTACAGTGTAGATATTGTCTAGTAACCACTTTGGATTCATGTGCATTTCATGAACTTTCTTTTTGTCACTTTGTTCCTCCCATAGGACAAAAGCTTCTTGGTGGAAGTCAACACTAGCTTTGAAGACTTTGGCTCTGTGATCAGCTCAGACAAGAGAGCCATGACGCTGGACGCAGGCAACATCAAGCTGGCCTTCAACAGTGTAAGAGCTCTGCCATTTACACCCGGCCTGTGTCCCAAATGGCTCCCTATATAGTTCACTACTTTTGACCAGAGCCCTATGAGCCCTGGTCAAAAAGTAATGCACTAAATAGGGTCGCAAATCATTTCACTGACGATCAGTGACCCCGCTGTGCCTCTAATAACCACTGTGCCCTCCCTCTCGCCTCCTTTACCCCTGTAGTTGCTGGAGAAGGCAGAGGCTCGGGAGAGGGAGCGGGAGAAGGAGGAGGCCAGGAAGATGAAGAGGAAAGAGGCTACCTTTAAGAGCATGTTGAAGCAGGCCACCCCGGCCCTGGAACCAGAGGCCACCTGGGAGGGAGTATGTGATGATATTACCGTTACCTTAAACCACAGGTGTCAAACTCATTCCACGGGTTTTCGCTCCTCCCATGCACTTGATTGATGAATTAAGGTCACTAATTAGTATAGAACGCCTCTCACCTGGTTGTCTAGGTCTTAATTGAAAGGGAAAAAACTAAAACCTGCAGACACTTGGCCCTCCATGGAATGACTTTGACACCGCTGCCTTAAACACACACACACACACACGTATTGGTGTTATCAAGGGGCTACGGTCTGGCACATTATTTGATAATCATGCAAATTGTCGAAAGCAAACCATTTATTTTCTGACTTCCTATGTACTCTTTGGTCGTCGTAGGTCCGAGAAAGGTTCCTCAAAGAATCTGCGTTCGAAGACGTGACTCTGGAGTCTGAGAGGAAAAGGATATTCAAAGACTTCATGCATGTTTTGGAGGTAAGACACCTTTAACTCTGTTAACCTCTGTGGGGAAAATGTATCCAAGAATGTCGGTGTGTGTAACCATCCTGACATACTGTACACCAACAGCACGAGTGTCAGCATCATCACGCCAAGACCAAGAAACATTCCAAGAAGTCCAAGAAGCACCACAGGAAGCGCTCCCGCTCCCGGTCTCGATCGCGATCGGTCAGTATGCCCTATCACCGCACAGGCCAAGCCCCCCCCCCCCCCCCCCTCTGCTCCCTCTATGGCCCAATTCCAAATCAACACATAGACCCACCATATACACTTGTGGAGAGATTTTGATTTGTGACCAACTGTTTATTTATTTAGTCATTTCTTTCATGGGGTGGGGGGGGGGTAAAATATACATTCATATAATTACATATACAGTTTCCATTCATTTTCGATTTGTTATTTTCCACATACTGTATATTTACTTGTGGGCTGCCACTCAAAAAGAACAAAAGTAATAACAAATAAAAAAAAGTTACATAAATACACTGTAGATCTGCCCTCGGCTAGGTGGACGTTTCACCATTATACCAATAAAGTTGTCTCGGATCTCCACAAGTGCATAGGCTGTATGGGGGGGCGATTTGGGATGAGGCCAGTATCTGTATCAGCATGACACCTGACCAGACAAACCTCCCTCCTAATACTCACACACTTCTCTCTGCAGGGCTCGGAGTCTGAAGGTGAAGACGATTATCACACCAAGAAGAAGAAGCACTCACAGTCCAAGTCCCCGTCCGAGCGCTCCTCCAGCGGCGAATCTGGTCAGTGCTTTTTCACATTGACAATCCTTATACGTTTATGCATTTTCTCATCACAATTACATGGAAGAAATGTGAAGAATTGTGTGGCGGCCATTTTCTGACATCCCTGTCTGTTTGGTCAACAGAGAGAAGTTATAAGAAGTCCAAGAAGCACAAGAAGAAGGGGAAGAAGAGGCGTCACAAGTCGGTAGGTTCTCAGGACTGAACTATATTTTTGGAGGAATGTTTGGGCCACTCGGGAAAGAATGTGGTGCGCTATGGCTGACCATGTGCTGGTTATTGTGACCTTTCAGCAATCTCCTGAATCCGAAGGCGAACGAAAAGAGAAAGGAAGAGAGAGGGACAGCAAGCGTGAGAAGGACCAGGAGAAAGAGAAAGAGAATGACAAGTCCCGGGGGAAGAGTCGTTCTGACTCCAAGCAGAAGTCGCCTAAAAGGAAATCTACCAAGGAGGAGGTGAGTCGTCCCATTCCGGTCACTGAACCCAGCCTGGGCTTTTAAGGCCTAAAAAAAATACACCATTCCAGTAAACAACAGTTGTACTGCTATCGAAGCATTTTGTCTCATCCTAGGTGCAGAGGTCTTCTCTACTATCCTCCTAGTGCATCCCAAATATCACAGTATTCACTATATACACTCCCCTATGTATTTATTCGGACAGGGAAGCTAAAACGTTTAATTTGCCTCTATACTCCAGCATTTTGGATTTAAGATCAAATGTTTTATATGAGGCGATAGTACAGAATGTCACCTTTTATTTGAGGGTATTTTCCGTTTAGAAATGAAAACACTTTGTGTATCTAGTCCCCCCCCATTTGAAGGTGTCATACGTATTGACAAATGTACTATGTAATAACCCTTGGCCTACAATGGTCGCGCCCCCGCCGAATCAAATTAACATTAAAAAAAAACATAAATCTGTCTGTTTTAAGCTAGAGATATGTTTTTTTGGGGGGGATGGGCTGAGTCTCAATCCACCACATCCGCCGATATCGCCCTTCCGCATCTGTGGTTAGAGGTGGCAGAGCTAGAGCGGTGTTTGTCAGACCATGAAACATCCCAAAAATCGGTCTTCTCACGAAAATGTCTGTAGCGTCCGGACGGTTTGCCCACTCTATTGAAAGATGAGACTCTCACGAACACGATAATGTTCTCCGTTTTGCTTTAGGACACCTAGAAGCCTCACAAGACTTGTCTGAAGTTGGTTCAGCCTATTCTGTCAACTTCTGTCTTTAGGGTCCGAATGGTTTGGGCTACAAACTAATATGACCCCTGTGTGGAAAGCTGAGACTCTCACAAACACGATGGTGTTTTGCCCTAGGACTCCCACAAGCCTCACAAGACTCGTCTGAAGGTACCCGGTACCGGTAAAAAAAAATAATTGAAGTAAATATGGAGATAGTTTAGTGCCTAAAATAAGGGGATAAATACATGTATAAAAAATATATGTATATGTGTGTTTCCTGATCTTTCTTATATCTCCTCAGATATAGGACACTTCAGAACATACTTATTTTAGATACTTTTTTTTTTTACTATCTGTTGTTCCATGTAGTGAATCTGTTATTCAATGCGTTTCTGTTGGCTAATAGCAGTAATGCCAAATTCACTGTTTCATCCAGTAATGTTTTCCTATATTTTTCTGATATTTTAAGGGGTCTAAACGGGAGCTAACGGAATGAGGTCTATTGTGATCACGTGCTGCTAAAATTGCTTAATTGTTTGTTTTGGTTGGTTGGTTCAGCGTTGTAATTCGTTGGTATTACTAGCTAAAGAGCTAACTGTATCAAGCTAGCCATGTGCTAACAGCAGCTAGTTAAACTAACTAGTTAGCTAGATAGATTACATTAAATTCGTCTTGATTGTGGCTACAGTAGCTATAAAGCTCTCTCTCACTAACATTAGCTAGCTAGCCAAGCTAAACTCAAGTCTATCGTAAATCATGGAGTTGAGTTAACTTGGCTAGCTAGCTAACTTAGCTGTTTTAGATGCTGACCAGACGGGCCATTTAACTTTTCTAGCTATCCTAGGTAGCTAGCTAGCTATTTAGCAAACAAAAGGGCTAATGTTAAGCAACTGAAGGATGTTTCCTAAGCTTGTTACGTTGAAGCTGTGTGTGTATGAGACAAGAGGGGTAGCTAGCTAGTATGACAGGGAGAGAAAGAATGCATCTGGTGAATAACTTAGCCTCACATGGAATCTGATTATCACAACACTAATGTATGCATGGCAACACGTCATGCCACATTCTCTGTGTAGCTCAGTTGGTAGAGCATGGCGCTTGCAACGCCAGGGTTGTGGGTTCGATTCCCACGGGGGGCCAGTATGAAAAAAATAAAGAAAAAAAGAGCGTCTGCTAAATGACTAAAATGTAAAATGTCTTAAAATTCAAAATCAAATAGCTAAATGATCCCTGGTATGACCATCTTAAAACAATTCCTGATCTTAGCTTAGAACCACCTCCCTCTCCCTCAGCTAAACGGGGCTTAGACTCTAGAGGGTTAAAGTAGTCAAAAGTTGTATTATTTGGTCCCATATTCCTAGCACCCAATGACTACATCAAGCTTGTGACTCTACAAACTCATTATATGCATTTGCAGGTTGTTTTGGGTTATGTTGTGCCCAATAGAAATGAATTGTAAATAATGTATTGTGTCATTTTGGAGTCACTTTTATTGTAAATAAATAAGAATATAATGTTTCTGAACACTTCTAGATGAATGTGGATGCTAGCATGATTATGGAGAGTTATGAATGAAACGTGAATAATCAGTGAGAAAGTTGGAGGCAGAACATATCCCCCCCGAAATGCTAACCTCCCCTGTTATTGGATAATGGTGAGGTTAGCATGTTTTTGGGGTATGATCTCTGTGCCTCTAACTTTCTCACTCATCATTAAACATGATAGCATCCACATGAACTGTTTAGAAACTTATTATATTCTTATTTATAATAAAAGGGACTCTAAAATGACCCTACGACACTAATCTAGTGGGCACAACATACCAAAACACAACCAAAACAAACTGCAAATGCATCCAACAAGTTTGTAGAGTCACAAGTTGTCATTGCGTGCTAGGAATATGTGACCAAATAATACAACTTTTGACTACTTTAGGGCTAAATTGAAAGGTTTCTTACAGAAGCAATATGAAAAGCATATGCATAACCATGGTATCAGTTGAAAGGGAACAGTTTGGAGCTAATGGGAACATTATTAGACCAAAGGTACACAACAGTTCACCTGACACAAGACTGAAAATATTGAAATTTACTGTACTTATCGCCGCATAGACTATTGCTGGAAAATGTGGAGTAGGCGCAACATAAGACCAAAAAATGACAGGAGTTTCAGTGAGAGGACTAACTGGTGTCTCGCAGTGGCCACACACTTATCCAAAGTGTGCACAGTTCTTAAGCAATTTCAATGCACTTTTATGACTCTAAGAACAGTCTAGGTACCTTTTTGAGCACTCCTAGCTGTGCTGTTAGAAACTAAGGCATGCACACTTGTAGTTTTTTTGTTTGGAACACAACTCTGCATCCCCGCATTCACACAATGGAACACAACTCTGCATTCACACAATTACTGTTGTTGTTTATGCACTCCAAAACAGTTCATTATAGATCGCAATCTGGGTCAGGTGGGCATGATTTGAAAGCTTGTTCTATTGCCAACATGACTAGCTAAGTTATAAAATATGATCTTACAGTGTTTGGCTTTCACAAGGTAATTGGGAGAAACAGATCTTAATTGTGGTGCGCAAAGAATCATGAGTGTGTGCCTCAGAGCATGTGAGCGGAGTTGAACGGTTGGAAATCGAGCTGTGCTCCAGTCTGCTCCATGTCCTTTCCAACCACTCCGCTAAAAACTGCTCTGTGCTCACAGGGAAAAAACTGCCGCTCCTAATTCGCTCCATTCATTAAAATCACAATTTAACCAACATCCATCAATTTTTGTGACTACCTGGACCTACCGTTTGGTTTTGAAGTATTGAAACCAAACCATATTGATTTGAATGAAAAGTATTTGAATAAACATGGAAAAAGTTAATGTAAGAAGCCCACATCATTTCAAATAGGCTACATGTCATTTTGAACAGCATATAAACACTCTAAATAGGTCAGGAGCCAGACAGGGAAAATTAATTATTTAGGCTACAGTGGGGAATTTTTTTATTTATTTAGACAGCCACCAATTGTGCAAGTTCTCCCACTTAAAAAGATGAGAGAGGCCTGTAATTTTCATCAAAGGTACACGTCAACTATGACAGACAAAATGATTTTTAAAAAATCCAGAAAATCACATTGTAGGATTTTTAATGACTTTATTTGCAAATTATGGTGGAAAATAAGTATTTGGTCAATAACAAAAGTTTCTCAATACTTTGTTATATACCCTTTGTTGGCAATGACACAGGTCAAACGTTTTCTGTAAGTCTTCACAAGGTTTTCACACACTGTTGCTGGGATTTTGGCCCATTCCTCCATGCAGATCTCCTCTAGAGCAGTGATGTTTTGGGGCTGTCGCTGGGCAACACAGACTTTCAACTCTCTCCAAAGATTTTCTATGGGGTTGAGATCTGGAGACTGGCTAGGCCACTCCAGGACCTTGAAATGCTTCTTACGAAGCCACTCCTTCGTTGCCCGGGCGGTGTGTTTGGGATCATTGTCATGCTGAAAGACCCAGCCACGTTTCATCTTCAATGCCCTTGCTGATGGAAGGAGGTTTTCACTCAAAATCTCACGATACATGGCCCCATTCATTCTTTCCTTTACACGGATCAGTCGTCCTGGTCCCTTTGCAGAAAAACAGCACCAAAGCATGATGTTTCCACCCCCATGCTTCACAGTAGGTATGGTGTTCTTTGGATGCAACTCAGCATTCTTTGTCCTCCAAACACGACGAGTTGAGTTTTTACCAAAAAGTTCTATTTTGGTTTCATCTGACCATATGACATTCTCCCAATCCTCTTCTGGATCATCCAAATGCACACTAGCAAACTTCAGACGGACCTGGACATGTACTGGCTTAAGCAGGGGGACACGTCTGGCACTGCAGGATTTGAGTCCCTGGCGGCGTAGTGTGTTACTGATGGTAGGCTTTGTTACTTTGGTCCCAGCTCTCTACAGGTCATTCACTAGGTCCCCCCGTGTGGTTCTGGGATTTTTGCTCACCGTTCTTGTGATCATTTTGACCCCACGGGGTGAGATCTTGCGTGGAGCCCCAGATCGAGGGAGATTATCAGTGGTCTTGTATGTCTTCCATTTCCTAATAATTGCTCCCACAGTTGATTTCTTCAAACCAAGCTGCTTACCTATTGCAGATTCAGTCTTCCCAGCCTGGTGCAGGTCTACAATTTTGTTTCTGGTGTCCTTTGACAGCTCTTTGGTCTTGGCCATAGTGGAGTTTGACTGTTTGAGGTTGTGGACAGGTGTCTTTTATACTGATAACAAGTTCAAACAGGTGCCATTAATACAGGTAACGAGTGGAGGACAGA